CCGCCGGTCTGTGACTATACAATCTGACTTGGATTTTCCCTGCTTTACCATTTTACATATTTCAAAATAAAGACATCTGTTCATAACACTATTAGGAAACTTGTAAAATAAAATCAACCAAAACAAAACCTTGATTTTGCAACTTTAAAAGTGCTACAGGAGAGAGATCCAAGATGGCTGATCACTAGCAGCTCGGGATTGTAGCTCCCAGTGAAAACGCAAAGAACGAGGGGACGTCACACCTTCACATGAATTCTTGTTGCTCACGCACCAGGAGATTCCCAGCAGAGGAGCCCCACGGGTCGCCAGCGCGACTCTTGTGACCGGCGAGGCGGTTTTGCCGGCGCCTCGGAGCGTCGGTTCTTGGTGCAGAGTCAGAAAAGCACCATCAATCTTAACGCCGCTGATTTAGTCGGCGCAGTGGGTTGCTCAGATTTCGGCGCTGAGAATCAATAAGTTGGACGTCCACTCAGAAACCCAATTACAAAGACGGTAATTATAAAGACCACAGATGGATAAATCTACAACGAAGGGAAGAAAACAGTCAAAAAAGGCTGAGAATACCCAAGATCAGAATGCCTCTCCCTCAGCAGGGGATCCCAGTTCCTCATCAGCAACGAAACAAGGCTTGATGGAGAACAAGTGTGTTCCAATTACAGAAGCAGGCTTCAAAATGTGGATAATAAGAAACTTCTGTGAATTAAAAGAACTTGTTCTAACCCAATCCAAAGAAACTAAGAACTTTGAAAAAAGATTTGACGAAATGTCAACAAGAATACAAAATTTAGAGAGGAAAATAAGTGAATTGATGGAGCTGAAAAACACAATACGAGAACTACGTGAAGTATGCACAAGTTTTTACAGCCGAATTGATCAAGTAGAAGAAAGGATATCAGAGGTCGAAGACCAACTCAATGAAATAAAACTAGAAGACAAGATTAGAGAAAAAAGGACAAAAAGGAACGAGCAAAGTCTCCAAGAAATACGGGACTATGTGAAAAGACCTAATCTACGCTCGATAGGTGTACCTGAATGTGACGAAGAGAATGAATCCAAGCTGGAAAATATGCTTCAGGACATTAATCAGGAAAATTTTCCCAACCTAGTAAGGCAGGATAATATTCAACTCCAGGTAATACAGAGAACACCACAAAGATATTCCTCAAGAAGAGCAACTCCAAGGCACATAATCGTCAGATTCACCAGGGTTGAAATGAAGGAGAAAATACTAAGGGCAGCCAGAGAGAAAGGTCAGGTTACCCACAAGGGGAAGCCTATCAGACTTACAGCAGATCTCTCAGCAGAAACCCTACAAGCCAGAAGAGAGTGGGGACCAATATTCAACATCCTTAAAGAAAAGAACTTTCAACCAAGAATTTCACATCCAGCCAAACTAAGCTTCATAAGTGAAAGAAAAATAAAGTTTTTTGTGAACAAGCAAGCACTCAGAGATTTCATCACCACCAGGCCTGCTTTATAAGAGCTTCTGAAAGGAACCACTACACATAGAAAGGAACAAACAGTATCAGCCTTTCTAAAAAATACCAAAAAGTAAAGAACATCAATATAATGAAGAATTTACATCAACTAATGGGCAAAATAGCCAGTTAATATTAAATGGCAGTATTAAACTCACATATATCATTATTAATTCTAAATTTAAATTGACTAAATTCCCCAATTCAAAGACAGGCAGGCAATTTGGACAAAAAACTAAAACCCATCGGTATGCTGCATCCAGACCCATCTCACATTCAAGGATACACAAAGACTCAAAACAAGGGATGGAGAGAGACTTACCAACCAAACAGAGAACAAAAATAAATAAATAAAAAGCAGAAGTTACAATTTTTGCCTCTGATGAAAGAGTCTTTAAAGCAACAAAGATCAAAAGAAGCAAAGAAGGACATTATATAATGATAAAAGAATCAACGCAACAACAAGAAGAGCTAAAGATCCTAAATATATACGCACCCAATACAGGAATACCCAGACATACAAGACTTATAAAGAGACTTAGACTTCCACACAATAATAGTGGGAGACTTCAACATTAATATTAGACAGATCAATGAGACAGAAAATTAACGATATCCAGGACTTGAACTCAGATCTGTAACAAGTAAACATAATTAACATTTATAGAACTCTCCACTTTACACAAAATATACACTCTTATCAGTACCACATCATATCAACTTAGAAGTTTAAACGAAATGTTGGTTGGCTCCTTGTTTGCTATTCTCTTCCCTCATTTTCTTTCATGTCTCCATTATTAAGGACAATTATAGGCATACCCATATTTAGACTGCATTCTAGCCTGGGCAATAAAGCAATACCCCCATTCTCTCTCCCTCTTCCTCTGTCTTCCTCTTCTTTATTCTTTATTATTATTTTTTCTTACAAAATAAATAAATAAATAAAAATAAAATAAAATAAAAGTGCTACAGAGGCCTGGCGAAGTGGCTCCCGCCTGTAATCACAGCACTTTGGGAGGCCAAGGTAGATGGATCACGAGGTCAGGAGATAGAGACTATCTAACACGGTAAAACTCCCTCTCTACTAAAAAGACAAAAACAATTAGTGGAGTATGGTGGTTTGCACCTGTAATCCTAACTACTCAGGAGGTTGAGGCAAGAGAATCACTTAAACCTGGGAGGCAGAGGTTGCAGTGAGCCAAGATCCCACCACTGCACTCCAGCCTGGGCCACGGAGAGTGAGACTCCATCTCAAAAAAAAAAAAAAAAAAAAAAAAAAAAAAAAAAGTGCTACATAAATGAGCCTGCACATAAAATAACTTTACTACCTTTTTTTTTTAATTAAAATGAATATGTAAACATCAAGAAAGGAAACATGGGCACAGTGGCTCATGCCTGTGATCCTAGCACTTTGGGAGGCCGAGGCAGGAGAATCATGAGGTCAGGAGATCAAGACCATCCTGGCTAACAGGGTGAAACCCTGTCTCTACTTAAAAAAAAAAATACAAAAAATTAGCCAGGTGTGGTGGTGTGCGCCTGTAATCCCGGCTACTCAGGAGGCTGAGGCAGAAGAATCGCTTCAACCAGGCAGGCGGAGGTTGCAGTGAGTTAAGATGGTGCCGTTACACTCCAGCCTGGGTGACAGAGCAAGACTCCACCTCAAAAAATACATGAACAAACATCCTGGATGTACTCCACAGTGTGAATATTCTAACAAGCTCTCTGCATGGAAAGCATCTGACCACCGCAAAATGCTCCCAAACGTGGCCAGGCACAGTGGATCCTGCCTGGAATCCCAGCACTTCGGGAGGCCAAGGCGGGAGGATCACTGTGCCCAGGAGTCTGAAACCAGACTGGGCTACAGCAAGAACCCTGTCTCTACAGAAACACAAAACAACACACTTGGTCAGAGGTAGGTTCTGATGTAGGAACTGTGTCACATCAAGACAGGGAAACAGCTGGCCACAGCGGCTCACCCATGGAATCCCAGCACTTTGGGAGGCTGAGGCACGAGGATCACTTGAGCCCAGAAGTTCAAGACCAACCTGGACAACGTGGTGAGACCGCATCCCTACAAAAATTATACAAAACTAGCTGGGGTGGCATGAGCCTGTAGTCCCAACTACTTGGGAGGCTGAGGGAAAATCACATGAGCCTGGGAGTTGGTGGCTGCAGTGAGCTGTGTCCCATCATTGTACTCCAGCCCTGGTGACAAAGCAAGACCCTATCTGGAAAAAAAAAAAAAAGCAGGAGATGAAACAAAACTGGACTGAGTCACACAAGCATTACCCCTAAAACACACACAATCTCTCGGAAAGTGGCCTGAAAATAGTAACTGTCTCACCACCATCCCTGGTCACTGGAAAACTTCAGAGAATAATTACCACTCCCTCTACAGCGGCCAAGCATGGACACCAGGTGTCCACGGAGGGTCCAGTCCTTGTCCCCGGGTGGACGCCCCCTCCTGTGCCCTTGCTGAGGGTACAGGCCCCGTCCCCAGGGTGGAGGCCCCCATGCCCCCTGGCTGAGGGTCCAGACCCCATCCCCGGGTGGAGGCCCCCTCCTGCACCCTGGCTGAGGGTCCAGGCCCCATACCCAGGTGGATGCCCCCTTCTGTCCCCTGGCTGAGGGTCCAGGCCCCGATCCTGGGTGGAGGCCTCCTCCTGCGCCCTGGCTGAGGGTCCAGGCCCCATCCCCGGGTGGACGCCCCCTTCTGTCCCCTGGCTGAGGGTCCAGGCCCCAATCCTGGGTGGAGGCCCCCTCCTGTGCCCTGGCTGAGGGTCCAGGCCCCGACCCCGGGTGGACGCCCCCTCCTGCGCCCTGGCTGAGGGTCCAGGCCCCGACCCCGGGTGGAGGCCCCCTCCTGCGCCCTGGCTGAGGGTCCAGGCCCCGACCCCGGGTGGAGGCCCCCTCCTGCGCCCTGGCTGAGGGTCTAGGCCCCGTCCCTGGGTGGAGGCCCCCACGCCCCCTGGATGAGGGTCCAGGCCCCGTCCCCAGGTGGACGCCCCCTCCTACGCCCTGGCTGAGGGTCCAGACCCCGACCCCGAGTGGACGCTCCCTCCTGCGCCCTTGCTGAGGGTCCAGGCCCTGTCCCCGGGTGGAGACCCCCACGCCCCCTGGCTGAGGGTCCAGGCTCCGTCCCCAGGTGGACACCCCCTCCTGTGCCCTGGCTGAGGGTCCAGGCCCCGACCCCGGGTGGACGCTCCCTCCTGCACCCTTGCTGAGGGTCCAGGCCCCGACCCCGGGTGGAGGCCCCCACGCCCCCTGGCTGAGGGTCCAGGCCTCGTCCCCGGGTGGAGGCCCCCACGCTCCCTGGCTGAGGGTCCAGGCCCCGTCCCCAGGTGGACGCCCCCTCCTGCGCCCTGGCTGAGGGTCCAGGCCCCGACCCCGGGTGGACGTTCCCTCCTGCGCCCTTGCTGAGGGTCCAGGCCCCGACCCAGGGTGGAGGCCCCCTCCTGCGCCCTGGCTGAGGGTCCAGGCCTCGTCCCCGGGTGGAGGCCCCCACGCCCCCCGGCCGCTTACTCGTCGCCGTCGGGGCACACGCCAGTGGCCTCGTTGTACTTGGAGCAGTACACGTCGGGGCTGTAGTTGAAGGTGCCGTCGCGCCTGCGGAGGGGCCTGCGGCGCCGCTGGTTGAGGAAGTGCCAGTGGAAGCAGGTGAATGGCCTGTGCTGCGCGCACTTGTGCTGTGAAAACAGGGGGCACTGCTCCGTCCTGAACTCCTTCAGGTACCTAAAAACAGACAGCGCCGCGCTCGCTTCCGTCGGGCGGCCCCGGGGACTCGGGGGCGGAGGGACCCACCGGCCTCAGCTGCCCCAACCCCGGGCTGGACCCCCACTCCGACTCCTCACGGGCCCCAGGCGCCGCCCCCCATCCCGACTCCAGACGCGACCGTCCCCGCACCTCAGAGCCCAGGAGCCCCTCGGACCCCGGCGACCGCGGTGAGCTCAGGCGGCGGTCGCCGGAGCGGAGGGTCCCGGTCCCGAGCCCGCGCGCAGCCCCTGACCCCTGACCCCCGACCCCCGATCCCCGACACCGGGCGGTTCCTCCTTCCCCAGCGGCGCGACGACCCCGGAGCCCAGGCGCCGCCCCACACCCTGGGCACCGCGCTCCGACCTCCGGCGGCGGCGGCCGGAGCGGAGAGGGTCGCGGCCCCCCAGCTCGGGCGCGGCGCGGAGGCCGGGGGCGCGCGGGGGCGGCGAAGGGGCGGCGCAGGCAGCGCGGGCCCGGGCGGGAGGCGGCAGGCGGGACCAGGGCGGGCTGGGGGCGCGGGCCGGGTGGGCGCTGACCTGTAGTGGGTCGGCTTCTCAGTCTGCGGGGGGGACCCGCTCAGCGCCGCCGCCGCCGCCGCCGCCGCCGCTTTCGAAACCGACGGCATTTTCAGTCAAAACAATGCAGCGCGCATGCGCCGCGCCGGCGCCCCCGCCCCCGGATCTCCCCCACCCCCCGCGGCCACGCCCCCGGCCCGAGACCCCGGCCACGCCCCCAGCCCCGCGCCCGGCCCCGCCCCGCCCGCCCCGGCCCTACAGCCCCCGGCCCCGGCTCGCCGGTGGGTGGGACGGGGCCCTCCCTGCCTGGGGGCTCGCGTGGGACCCGCGATGGTCGGTCCCTGCTGGGACACGACCCGACATCACCGAGTAATTTCCGTGAATTAATCACGGGAGTTGTATCTGAATACAGCGGCTCTTCCACAAACCAACCGAGAGGCTGATGTCAAGGGAGCCGCGCACACGGGTCCCCAACGGGGCGGGAGGGCGAAGGGGTCCTGGCCTCTGTAAAAAGGAATTTGTCCCTTTTCGAGCACTGACCTCAAACACTTATTGGAGCATTTATGTACAAAGGTAATTATCGCAGTTATTTAACAAAACACTTGAGCCCCGCCCCCATAACAGCCTAGTAGCGGGATAAAAGGAAAACTCTCAAGTGTTATGCGCGATTTGATAGAAACAATGTTTCCTAAGAATTTTTAGTGACCGGAGGTCAGCCGCGGTGGTTCATGCCAGCACTTTGGGAGGCAGAGGCAGGTGGATCACCTGAAATCACGAGTTCAAGACCAGCCTGGCCAACATAGTGATCCCTCCCCATTAAAAATAAAAATAAAATAAAAAATTAGCAAGGTATGGTGGCACACGCCTGTAATCCCAGCTACTCGGGAGGGTAACGCAGGAGAATCGCTTGAACCCGGGAGGTGCAGTCAGCCAACATTGCGTCACTGCACTCCACCCTGGGCGACAGAGTGACACCCTGTCTCAAAAAAAAAAAAAGAAAAGAAAATTTTTATTGGTATGAAAAATGTGCCCATTTAGGTTAAAAGCAAACCACTTCCTATAGATTTGTTCCAAGTATACCAGGTTTTTTAAAAAATATATTAATAGTATAAAGACACAAAAGCAATCATTTGCTGGTAGGACGAATTTCTTCTGGAGACAGAGTTTCACTCTTCTTGCCAAGGATGGAGTGCAATGGTGCGATCTCGGCTTATGGCACCCCGTGCCTCCTAGGTTCAAGTGAGTCTCCTGCCTCACCCTCCCAAGTACCTAGGATTACAGGCACACACCACCACATCCGACTAATTTTGTATTTTTAGTAGAGCCAGGGTTTCTCCATGTTGGTGAGGCTGCTCTTGAACTCCCAACCTCAGGTGATCTACTTACTCACAGTGGCCTCCCAAAGTACTGGGACTACAGGCATGAGCCACCACACCCGGCCAGGTTCACATTTTCCAAATGAATTATTACCTCTACAAATATGACATTTACATCTTAAAGTGTTAATGAAGAACATGCTATTTTCAAGTTAAGTCAAGCAGGAAGGACAGGGCCTGTGAATTCTTCAGACAGGAATAAACAGATCTTGAAGACTCCCCCGGTGCTGGAAATGGTAAAGGATTCCAGGATGACGCCCAGGTCTCCAGCTTGCAGGGATACAGACCAGGGGAGAAGAAACAGGTTTGGCAGAGATGAATTCCATTTTGTGAGGGTAACACACCCCAGTGGCACCAAGGAAGGAGAACTGTGCAGACCCCAGGCACAGTTAGTCTCTGAAGCATAACTCAGTGCTTACTATATCTAGCTTATATATATATTCATACTTAGTCCCATATAACCTTTCTATTTTTTTTTTTTTTTTTTTTTGAGACAGAGTTCCGCTGTTGTTACCCAGGCTGGAGTGCAATGGCGCAATCTCGGCTCACCGCAACCTCCACCTCCTGGGTTCAGGCAATTCTCCTGCCTCAGCCTCCTGAGTAACTGGGATTACAGGCACGTGCCACCATGCCCAGCTAATTTTTTTTTTTTGTATTTTTAGTAGAGACGGGGTTTCACCATGTTGACCAGGATGGTCTCGATCTCTCGACCTCGTGATCCACCCGCCTTGGCCTCCCAAAGTGCTGGGATTACAGGCTTGAGCCACCACGCCCGGCCATAACCTTTCTATATAATCATACAGGTATTGTAGTCGGAGCTGTACCGACACATTTAGTGCTGACTTATAGAATCCTTCTATACAACCATATAGTAGTTTGTAGTAGGAGGACGCCTAGAGCAGTCACAGAACAGAAGCAGTACATGGGAAAACAGCCAGACCGGGACAAGAACCAAAGACCCAGGCAGTGGCGTCCCTGTCTGAAAGGGCATATGCTGTATGCATTGGAGCAAGAGCTGCTCCTCCTGATAAAGGAGTTGTAGCATCTCGCATCCAGTTCCTGTGGAAAGTCGGCCTCAGGCCTGAGATCCTGGAAGTAACCGAGGGAGAAGAACCCCTCTGGTGTGACCAGTCACGTGGCTGTACACCCTGTCAGTCTTTTCTCGTTTCTGTGCCAGCTCAAATCATCCTCCCATAAATATCTTAAGAGCACAAGTCTGTCAGCTCCCATTGCATTGGCTTATAGTATCCTTCTATTAGAAATCCTTTGAAGGCCAGGCACTGTGGCTCATGCCTGTAATCCTAGCACTTTGGGAGGTCGAGGTGGGTGGATCACCTGAGGTCAGGAGTTCAAGACCAGCCTGGCCATAATGGTGAAACCACATCTTAAAAAAAAGAAAAAAAAAAAAAAAAAAAAAAAGAAAAAAAAAAAAAAAAGAATCCTTTGAAGTCTCCAGCCCCCATATAAGAAGTGTTGCATATGACACCTGTTGCACACAGCCCACCTCCTTGCCTCAGTGACCTAATGGGGGTGGACCCCTTTTCTGTACACGACCTTCTACTGCACACAGCACGGCCCCCTACTGAGCACAGTCCACCTATCTGCGCACGTGACCTGATGGGGTAGCCCCCGTGCTTGTGACTCACGTGACTATGTATGCCCTATCACTAAGCCTATAGATGATGACCTCACTCATGACCCTGCCCGCTGCTTGTACCTAATACAGATGCTTCTTGCATTTGGGCTCTCGCCAATCTCTACTCACAGGTGGCGTGGCACCCGAGTCCAGATGGTCTTCACGAGTTCTGCAGTGTCCTGTCCCTTTACTTCTTGGCCCCTGCACTTCAGCACGGCATAAGGGACACCCCACGGCCCTGTGGGGCCCAGCAGCCCTAAAATTTTGGAGTTTAAGGAGCCTGTGAGCTGTCCAGCAGGGATGTCTATGGGGCCTGGTAATCCTAGGAAAAGGATTTGAGGACTCAGGGCCTAGGAATTGGGGGATTTTTGCTGTAGAGATGTGACTGAAGATGCCTGCTGTTCCTCTTCACCCTGGGGGCTTCGGGACTTCTTTCTTGAAGATGTCAAAGGAAACTGATGTAAGACTTAACAATTAGGCCGGGCGCAGTGGCTCAAGCCTGTAATCCCAGCACTTGGGAGGCTGAGGCGGGTGGATCACGAGGTTGAGAGATCGAGACCATCCTGGTCAACATGGTGAAACCCCGTCTCTACTAAAGATACAAAACATTAGCTGGGCATGGTGGCGCGTGCCTGTAATCCCAGCTACTCAGGAGGCTGAGGCAGGAGAATTGCCTGAACCCAGGAGGCGGAGGTTGCGGTGAGCCGAGATCGCGCCATTGCACTCCAGCCTGGGTAACAAGAGCGAAACTCCATCTCAAAAAAAAAAAAAAAAAAAAAGACTTAACAATTACCATCCAGGTCAACATGGTGAAACCCAGTCTCTACTAAAAATACAAAAAATTAGCTGGGCATGGTGGCATGTGCCTGTAATCCCAGCTACTCAGGAGGCTGAGGTAGGAGAATTGCCTGAACCCAGGAGTCGGAAGTTGTGGTGAGCCGAGATCACGCCATTGCACTCCAGCCTGGGTAACAAGAGCAAAACTCCGTCTTAAAAAAAAAAAAGACTTAACGATTGAAAGTATCATTTTTTTCATGCTTTGGAAGAAATGTTCTTTAAAATCTAGGGTGGTACCAGACATGTATAAAATAACCCCAGGCTTTCCAGTGTGAATGTAGAAGTATTTCACCTTTCTTGGGAACAAAACAGACACCACTGGCAGGACTTCTAAGACACTTCATCGGCTTAGATGTGACCAACTGGTTAATATCTTCCTTGAAAGAATTTTTGTTTTAACACAATTTCTGCCTGGGCAAGGCGGTGGCTCTTGCCTGTAATCCTAGCAATTCGAGAGGCCGAGGCAGGTGGATTACTTGAGGTCAGGAGTTCAGGAACAGCCTGGCCAACATGGTGAAACCCCATCTCTACTGAAAATACAAAAAAATTAGCCAGGTACAGTGGTGCACACCTGTAACCCCAGTTACTCGGGAGGCTGAGATAGGAGAATCGCTTGAACTTGGGAGGCAGTGATTGCGGTGAGCCAAGACCACACCACTGCACTCTAGCCTGGCCACAGAGCTAAACTTCGTCTCAAAAAAAAAAAAAAAAAAAAAAAAAATTCCTCTTCCTGCCCAGCCATTTGTCATTTTAGGAATCAGCAGCTGCTAGGTGCAGTGGCATGTGCCTGTAGTCCCAGCTACTCGGGAGCCTGAGGTGGGAGGATCACTTGAGTCCAGGAGTTCTGGGCTGTAGTGTTCTATGCCGACCAGGTGTCCGCACTAAGTTTGGCATCAATATGGTGACCTCCCGGGAGCGCGGGATCACCAGGTTGCCTAAGGGATCACCAGGTGAGCCAGCCCAGGTCAGAAACAGAGCAGGTCAAAACTCCCGGCCGGGCGCGGTGGCTCAAGCCTGTAATCCCAGCACTTTGGGAGGCCGAGGCGGGTGGATCACGAGGTCGAGAGATCGAGACCATCCTGGTCAACATGGTGAAACCCCGTCTCTACTAAAAATACAAAAAATTAGCTGGGCATGGTGGCACGTGCCTGTAATCCCAGCTACTCAGGAGGCTGAGGCAGGAGAATTGCATGAACCCAGGAGGCGGAGGTTGCGGTGAGCCGAGATCGCGCCATTGCACTCCAGCCTGGGTAACAAGAGAGAAACTCCGTCTCAAAAAAAAAAAAAAAAAAAAAAACTCCCGTGCTGATCAGTAGAGGGATCTCACCTGTGAATAGCCACTGCACTCTAGCCTGGGCAACAGAGCAAGAACCCATCTCTTAAAAAAAAAAAAAAGAAGCCGGACGCGGTGGCTCAAGCCTGTAATCCCAGCACTTTGGGAGGCCGAGGCGGGTGGATCACGAGGTCAAGAGATCAAGACCATCCTGGTCAACATGGTGAAACCCCGTCTCTACTAAAAATACAAAAAGTTAGCTGGGCATGGTGGCGCGTGCCTGTAATCCCAGCTACTCAGGAGGCTGAGGCAGGAGGAATGCCTGAACCCAGGAGGCGGAGGTTGCGGTGAGCCGAGATCGCGCCATTGCACTCCAGCCTGGGTAACAAGAGCGAAACTCCGTCTCAAAAAAAAAAAAAAAAAGAAAGAAAGAAATCGCTGCAGCTGCATCTGTCCTAGCATGCTAACAATTGTCTCCCTCTCAAATGCTTATCTGGGGAGGTCAGTGTGCCATGTACCCTGGGGAAAATAAAAGCTATAGCCCAACTGGGGAAACAGAACAAACACACTATAAAACTAGTTAAATACGGCCAGGCTTGGTGGCTCCTGCCTGTAATCCCAGCACTTTGGAAGGCCGAGGTGGTCAGATTGCCTGATGTCAGGAGTTTGAGACCAGCCTGACCAAAATGGCAAAAGCCCATCTCTACTGAAAATACAAAAATTAGCCAGGCATGGTGGCATGTGCCTGTAATACCAGCTACTTAGAGGCTGGGGCAGGAGAATTGCTTGATCCCAGGAGGCTGAGGTTGCAGTGAGCTGAGATCACACCACTGCACTCCAGCCTGGGTGACAGAGTGAGACTCTGTCTCAAAATAATAATGATAATAAATACTAACTGTACTGAATTAGCTGTTCACCTATCAACCTGCTCTATTGCCATCCTTTGAAAACTCCAAGTATAGGGAAGATATGCCCACTGTCCCCAGCTGGTCTGTCCATAGCACAAGTGTGAGTTCAGCAACTGGAAAAGCCCTCCCAGATCTGCCCTGGAGACACTTGGAATCTGCTGCGTGTGGGATGTCTCATCAAAAAACAATGTGACTATCCTGCTGTGTCTTTGAAATAGGTATATGTATATATATGTATGAAAACAATCAACCAGGCACAGTGGCTCACGCCTGTAATCCCAGCACTTTGAGAGGCCAAGGCGGGCGGATCACTTGAGGTCAGGAGTTCGAGACCAGCCTGGCCAACATGGTGAAATCCTGTCTCTACTAAAAATACAAAAATTAGACAGGCATGGTGGTGCATGCCTGTAATCCCAGCTACCCGGGAGGCTGAGACAGGAGAATTGCTTGAACCCAGGAGGCAGAAGTTGCAGTGAGCCGAGACCGCCCCACTGCACTCCAACCTAGGTGACAGAGCAAGGCTCCATCTCAAAAAAACGAAGAAAACGATCTAGGGCCTGGTGTAGTGGCTCCTGCCTGTAATCCCAGCACTTTGGGAGGCCTAGGCAGGTGGATCACCTAAGGTCAGGAGTTCAAGTTCAGACTGGCCAACATGCCAAACGCCATCTCTACTAAAAATATAAAAATTAGCCGGGCATGGTGGTACAAGCGTGTAATTTCAGCTACTTCGGAAGCTGAGGCAGAAGAATCATTTGAACCCAGGAGGCAGAGATAGCAGTGAGCCAAAATTGCGCCACTGCACTCCAGCCTGGGTAACAGAATGAGACTCTGTCTCAAACACACACACACACACACACACACACACAGAGTATCACTCAGGTAACCCAAAATAGTGCGCATCATTAAAAAAAATAAATAAATAAAACTCATTAGTTGTACTCTACTCAGAAAATTGTTGCCTTGCTTAAAAAGTTTTGCAGAAAACTGAAGAAGTTCCTAATTTCTGGTACTATCTGGTAATATATATGTAGGTTTCTTTCCTCAGTTTCCACTCTGGAAAAAAGAAAAGAAAACTTTCAAAAATAGCTGCTGGTACAACTTACACACTGTGGTAAATAAGAAAAAAATTAGGCTCGGCGAGATGGCTCACAACTGTAATCCCAGCACTTTGGGAGGCCGAAGCGGGCAGATCACCTGAGGTTGGGAGTTTGAGACCAATCTGACCAACATGGAGAAACCCCATCTCTACTAAAAATACAAAATTAACCAGGCGTGGTGGCGGGTACCTGTAATCTCACCTACCCGGGAGGCTGAAGCAGGAGAATCGCTTGAACCCGGGAGGCGAAGTTGAAGTCAGAGGAGATAGTGCCATTGCACTCCAGCCTGGGCAACAAGGGCAAGACTCTGTCTCAAAAAAATAAAATACGATAAAGTGACAGCTAAAATACCCTCTTTTAAAAAACTAGATGCAAAAAAAGGGAATCATCTAATCCCATATCATAAAATTAAAATTTATTTTCGATTTGTTATTATGCAAAACTAACATGGAAAAGTGTTATTTATACAGGCCAGAGCACGTAAGAAAGTTTAACACTTCTGCTAGATAATTCTATCTCAGAAAGCAAATTACCTGCAAACTAACACTGAATGACAAGTGTCACCAGAACTGCTCTGCAAACATGATTATGTTATACAAAGACATCACAAATCCAACACCACACAGTGCAACTGAAACCTTTCCTAAGGATCGCAAAAGTCTTGTGGATGGAATCTTGGACACCAAGCCCCAGGCAAGAGCAGGTTCCGATCTGCTGGGATTCTGCTCCGCCTCCACGCCGATCAGCATAGCCAATTCTCCATCCACCATCCAAGTCCTTCAGTGCTGAGGACGCAGGCATAGCCAGGACAGTTAAGGTCGAATCGGCAAGGGCGGCTGCTGGCTCACTTCCTGCCAGCCCCAGCGGCCACTCTGTCACGTTCTCGCTCCGGAGGCAGCTGGAGTTTCAGGCCCCTCAGAACGACCACTGGGCTCTGGCACCTCTTCTCCCAACACCCGTCTCAACCACTGGTCGGTCTCGGTCTCCTCCCTCAGGAAGCACCAGATGACCAGAGCCATGATGGACAAGCTGATGGGCAGCACCTGCCACCAGGGCCGCTGATATCCGTCTCCCATGGAATTGCCAACCGTCCAGAGGCGCGGGTTAGCTTTGCTGGAGGAAAACTTAATGGGGCGGTCAGGGTCGTCGTCTTCCTCGGCGGCGGGTTGGGCCCGATCCCGGGAACCGGGCAGTGGATGAAGGCTTCGGGAAACCCAACCCATGAACCTCAGCGCCCTGACGGCCCTGGAAAAGAAATAACAGTAAGCGCTCCGCCCGCCCGCCGGTGCCTGCCCTCGGCCCTCGGAAACCTTGAGCAGCTCACCCGGCCGCCGGTGCACACAGAACCCGGCTCATCGCTGCCTAGACTCCGCGCTCGGCGCCGTGATTGCGTCACCTCCGTCGCCCGAACCGGAAACCGGAAACCGGACGCCATACCAGGCCGGCGCTCACGACTACAGAACGTGAGTCCAGTAGCGCGGCGGAAATGACGTTTGTCTGCGGAGCGCACTTTCCGTCGCAGACTCTAGTGTCCCTGGAGGGCGCGAGGGCATGCCGGGAACTGTAGTTATCTGTCCCTTTCGGCTAGGACCCAGACCCGGGTCCCTGGTCGCCCAGGAGAGGCGGGGCGCCGCGGGGCGGGCATCGTCCTTAGAGAATTAGGTCTGAGTTCGCCTCAGAGTAGTCTCAACCCGCCTGAAGATGCGCCGGACCTGAGTGGGGGTCCGCGCCCTCAGCCCTGCCTGCTTTTTAGTAGAGATGGGGTTTCATCGTGTTGATCAGGATGGTCTCGATCTCTTGACCTCGTGATCCACCCGTCTCGGCCTCCCAAAGTGCTAGGATTACAGGCTTGAGCCACCGCGCCCGGCAAGTGTAAACCCTTTCTTTTCTTGAGACAGGGACTCGCTCCGTCGCCCAGGCTGGAGTGCAGTGACGCGATCTCACATCAGTGCGGTCTCGGAAACCTCCTTTGCAAAAATTATAACTGAGGACGTGATGACAGGGAAGGAGATCAAACCTAAGGGGCTCCGTCCTGCTTCTAACTCTTAAGCTGTCCTTGTTCATTCCTAGGCTTAGGCAGAACTATGGGAAGGATTTCAGTTCATGGCTTGACTCAAACAAAATTGGTAAGATTCCTTTCCAGAAAAGACCTCCTTGACTGAGGACCAGTCTGCTTTTACAGGACTAATACCTTTGCTATAAAATTAGAAATTGGCTGGGCGCAGTAGCTCATGCCTGTACTCCCAGCACTTTGGGAGGCCGAAACGGGCGGATCACGAAATCACGAGTTTGAGACCAGCCTGGCCAACATGGTGAAACCACGTCTCTTACTGAAAGTACAAAAATCAGCCAGGCGTGGTGTTGGGCACCTGTAATCCCAGCTACTCGGGAGGATGAGGAGGGAGAATTGCTGAGGCAGGAGGTGGAAGTTGCAGTGAGCTGAGATCATGCCACTGCACTCCAGCCTGAGTGACAGAACAAGACTCGGTCTCAAAAAAAATAAAAATAAAAATGAGAAGTTATGGTTTAGGGGTCATGCAGCCTCTGACCTCTTGACGGAACCTCCTCTGCACATTGCCGCTAGGGATAACGTTGTGAAGCCTAAGATCAGTGTCTGAGATATTTCGCAGATGCCACTGGACGGATCGGCTTGGCCCACCCAGACCCGTAATCTGGCCCAACCAGTTCTGCCATCCCACGCAGGAAGAAAAGACAGCAAGGAAAACTCCCTTCCATCCCCTGTGATGCATCTCCAACGTGAGCAATCAGAACTTCCCACTTCTCAAGCCTCTGCCCACCAAGTTATCTTTAAAAACTCCTGTCTTCAGGCTGGGGGCAGTGGCTGACACCTGTAATCCCAGCACTTTGGGAGGCCAAGGCGGGTGGATCACGAGATCAGGAGATTGAGGCCATCCTGGTCAACATGGTGAAACCCCGTCTACACTAAAAATACAAAAATTAGCTGGGCGTGGTGGCGCGTGCCTGTAGTCCCAGCTACTTGGGAGGCTGAGGCAGGAGAATTGCTTGAACCCGGGAGGCGGAGGTTGCAGTGAGCCACTATCACACCACTGCACTCCAGCCTGGCGACAGAGACTCCATCTCAAAAAAAAAAAAAAAAAAAAAAAAAAAAAAAAAAAAAGCCGGGTGCGGTGGCTCAAGCCTGTAATCCCAGCACTTTGGGAGGCCGAGGCGGGTGGATCACAAGGTCAAGAGATCGAGATCATCCTGGTCAACATGGTGAAACCCCGTCTCTACTAAAAATACAAAAAAGTAGCTGGGCATGGTGGCGCGTGCCTGTAATCCCAGCTACTCAGGAGGCTGAGGCAGGAGAATTGCCTGAACCCAGGAGGCGGAGGTTGCAGTGAGCCGAGATCGCGCCATTGCACTCCAGCCTGGGTAACAAGAGCGAAACGCTGTCTCAAAAAAAAAAAAAACAAAACAAAAAACAAAAAACAAAAAACTCCTATCTCCAAATGCTAAGGGAGACTCACCTGAGTAATAATAAAACTCCCATCTCCTTCATAGCCAGCTCGGTGTGAATTCGTTTCTCTATTGCTCTGTCTAAGCAGCAGGCAAGGTGAACCCACTGGGCGGTTATTTCTACCTCCCAGGCTCAAGTGCTTCTCCCACCTCAGCTTCCTTAGTAGCTGACCCCAGGTGCATGCCACCACACCTGGCTAATTTTTGTATTTTTTGTGGAGATGGGGTCTTGCCATGTTGCCCAGGCTGGTCTTGATCCCCTGGGCCCAAACGATCTTAAGGCCTCAGCCTCCCAAAGTGTACAAATTCCAGGTGTAAGTTACCACCATACATGGTGGGCCCGCGTGAAGCCCTCCATGCCCTCCCCAGACCACAAAAAAGGACCCACTAATGAAAGCGCCTTTGTGAAATTATGACAGTGAGAGAAAGCTGACGTGGCTGACTCCACCTTGCTTCCAGCCATACAGGCTGTCTTCCTGCATTCCTGAGTGAATTTCTCTCTCTCAGACCTTTTTTTAATTTTTTTGAGCCTTCGTCACCCAGACTGGTGTGCAGTGGCATGATCTCTCAGCTCACTGCAACCTCCGTCTCCCGGGTTCAAACGATTCTCCTGCCTCAGCCTCCCGCGTAGCTGGGACTACAGTCAGGTAGCACCAAACCTGGCTAATTTTTGTATTTTTAGTAGAGACGGGGTTTTGCCATATTGGTCAGGCTGGTCTCAAACTCCTGACCTCAAGTGATCCACCTGCCTCGGCCTCCCAGAAGGCTGGGATTACAGGCATGCGCTACCAGGCCCCCTCTCCGTCTTGGGAGAGACTCTAACTCCCCTAAATTGAGCCTCTAACCCAATCCCGTTCTTTACCCAGGACCCACCACTTACCCAGAGTAGTCCAATCAGTGCTGCTATTTCCTTTAGGTCTGGGGGTCTCCTCAGTATCATCCTTTCAGGGCTCAGCAGAAAGATGTTACAGGATCCCAACCTTTACCAAAGTTAGCCGTTGCGAAGAGGGTTTCCACACTACAGTCCCTTCTGTGGTTCACCAGAATGTGTTACAGGGAAGGGGTCCTGGTCCAGACCTCGAGAGAGGATTCTCGGATCTCCCTCGAGAAAGAATCAGGGCGAGTCCAGAGGGTAAAGTGAGAGCAAGTTTATTAGGAAGGTAAAAGAGGAAGAGAATGGCTATTCCAGGGCGTGGTGGGCGCTGGTCGTCCCAGTTGCTAGGGAGGCTGAGGCAGGAGGATTGTTTGAACCTGGGAGGCGGAGGTTGCAATGAGCTGAGATCACACCACTGCACTCCAGCCTGGGCAACAGAACAAGACACCATTTCAGAAAAAAACAATAAAATGAAACATGTCATTTCTTTGTGTGTGTGTGTGTGTGTGTGTGTGTGTGTGTGTGTGTGTTTTCATCTATTTTTTTTTTTTTTTTTTTTTTTTTTTTTGAGACGGAGTTTCACTCTCGTTACCCAGGCTGGAGTGCAATGGCGCAATCTCAGCTCACTGCAACCTCCGCCTCCTGGGTTCAGGCAATTCTCCTGCCTCAGCCCCCTGAGTAGCTGGGATTACAGGCACGCGCCACCATGCCCAGCTAATTTTTTTTGTATTTTTAGTAGAGACGGGGTTTCACCATATTGACCAGGATGGTCTCGATCTCTTGACCTTGTGATCCACCCGCCTCGGCCTCCCAAAGTGCTGGGATTAGAGGCTTGAGCCACCGCGCCCGGCTATTTTTTAATTTTAAATTTTTTTTAGGAGGAGTCTTGCTCTGTCACCACACTGGAGTGCGGTGGCGTGATCTCAGCTCACTGCAACCTCTGCCTCCAGGGTTCAAGTGATTCTTCTGTCTCAGCCTCTTAAGTAACTGGGACTACAGGCATGCGCCATTCCGCCGAGCTAATTTTTGTGTTTTTAGCAGACACGGGCTTTGACCATGCTGGCTAGGCTGGTCTCAAACTCCTGACCTCGTGATCCGCCCACCTCAGCCTCCCACAGTGCTGGGATTACAGGCGTGAGCCACTACACCCAGGCCCATCTTTTTATTATTTTTATTTTATTTATTTATTTATTATTATTATTATTATTATTATTATTATTATTTTGAGACAGTTTCGCTCTTGTTATCCAGGCTGGAGTGCCATGGCACGATCTTGGCTCAATGCAACCTCCGCCTCCTGGGTTCAGGCAATTCTCCTGCCTCAGCCTCCCAAGTAGCTGGGATTACAGGCACGCGCCACCATGCCCAGCTAATTTTTTGTATTTTTAGTAGAGACGGGGTTTCACCATGTTGACCAGGATGGTCTCAATCTCTTGACCTCGTGATCCACTCGCCTCGGCCTCCCAAAGTGCTGGGATTACAGGCTTGAGCCACCCTGCCCGGCTATTTATTATTTTTTTATATATAAAGACGGGGTTTCACCATGTTGGTTAGGCTGGTCTTGAACTCCCAACCTCAGGTGATCCACCTGCCTTGGCCTCCAAAGTGCTTGAATTATAGGCGTGAGCCACCACACCTGGCCTTATTTTTTATTTTTGCAATATGTTTACACAACAAAACCATATCATTTCATATGCCTAGAGTCTGAGAGGAATTCAAACCCATTCCCACTGTGAGATTAGCTGGAAGCCTGGACGTACCTACAGAGAAGGTGGGGGGCTTCTTTCCTCTCAGGATGGCTCCGGAGTGGGAGGGCGTGCCCCTGATGGCTGGTACAGCTCAGTCTGCCTGTTGCCCGGGTGGTGGAGGGGACCTCTGCCCGTCGGCTGCAGTGTGTGTAGCTGGGTGGTCCTGGACAAGCCCCTTCCCCTGAGCCAGAATCTGCTCACCTCTGGATCACCAGCTCCTGCCCCTGGTTCCCAGCAGAAGCAGCGCCGGATCAGGGACCAGCTCTGTTCCCCCAGGAGCTCTTGGCATCAAGGCCAGGAAGCAGGGCTGGAGGTGTCTCAAGCGTAGCAACACCTGGGCAGCCTGAGCCCAGACGTGTTTGGGGCTGCTGTGTCAACAGAGGCACCTGTTTGCCCGGGTCATCCTCACCAGGCCCTGCCCCACCTGTTCTACCTCAGAACCCCACCTGGAATCACTGTCAAACCAATCCCCCTGTGGCAACCTGGGAGCATCCACTGTGTGGGAGGAGGGAGCTCGATGTGTGGCTGGGGAGGACTGCTCAGCTTCATCCCAGTGTGCAGCCTGGGGGGGCTTCCTGGAGGAGGTGGAAATCAAAGGGCCCTGCGGTTAGGCCTGGAGCCTTTGGGCCAGACTGGTGCAGCTGCTTGGTTGGGGTGTTTTGGGGCAGTTAAGCACGAGCTGCCCCGGGACAGCAGAGTAAAGGGCAGAGCAGGAGCTGCGGCTTCACCCGGGGGACAGGCCAGCCTCTGAGGGGTCACCAAGCTCATCTCAGTCTCAAACAGAAATGAGACACCTGGGAAGGGTGGCTTCCTCCAAGTGGAAAATGGGCGTCCCCCATCCCACTCGGCCCCCTGTGGGAACTGGAAGACGCCACCCTGGGTTCAACAGACCCCAAATTTATGATCCCTCGGAACACAAGAGCTTGACCTTGTCTGGAAACAGGTTCTTTGCCAACGTGATTAGTCAGGATGGGGCCCTTCTGGACTAGGGTGGACCCTAAATCTACAAGGAGGGGAGAGGAGGCCCGTCGTGGAGGCTCACACCTTCCTCTGCAGCCCAGGCACACTCAGGACTGCTGGTAAGCACAGGGGAGGGAGACAGGCGTGGAACGGAGGCTTCCCGGAGCGCTCGGAGGGAGCAGGGTGCTGCTGACATCTTCGCTTTGGACCTGCGGCCTCTGGAACCCTGAGGAAACGCAGTGTGTCTGCTTGGTCGTTGAGGTCCCAGGACACTAACACAGCTGCCCAACCAAAGGGGCCCCACTCCTGACAGATGCCACTCCAGAGGACACCTGCACCCCCCCTGGTGACATCTCAGCTCACTGCAACCTCTGCTTCCAGGCTAAAGCGATTCTCCTGCTGGGAATAGCTGGGATTACAGGCACATGCCACCATGCCCAGCTAATTTTTGTATTTTTAGTAGAGATGGGGTTTCATCATGCTGGCCAGGTCGGTCTCGAACCCCCGACCTCAGGTTATGCACCCACCTTGGACTCCCACAGTGCTGGGATTACAGGCGGGAGCCACCGTGCCGCCCATGTTTTTTTATTTTTTGGGGAGACAGTCTTCCTGTGTTGCTCAGGCCGGGCTCAAACTCCTGGGCCCAGTGGCTCCTCCCACTTCGGAGGAGCTGGGACTCCAGGCTGAGCACCGCACCCTGCTCCCGAGGTGCCCATCTGCCCCCAGGGGGCTTTGGCTGGTGGGCACGGATGTCTCCCCCTCCCCCCTCCCCTCCGCCCCGAATGCTGTGTGTTTGCTTGACCCCGGCTGGGAACACAGCGGATGTGCCGGGCACCCGTGTCCCTGCGGCCGTGCCCTCCCTGGCCAGTCCATGTGGCGTGGGTGCTGGCACTGCCTGGGTGGCTGCTCTCGTCCCCCCCTTTCCCTCCCCAGGGACGGAAACCCACTATCTGAAAGCACACAGACACATTTCTCGGGAGGCCCAACATCCCGCTCCTGCACGGCCGAGGCTGCGGCCGTCGCGTGCCTCACGCGGGGACTAGCCCCAGGGCCTGTTGAGAGCCGGCATATTGGAGCTATTGATTTTCTCCGGAACGATCAATATGGGGTGAGTGGGCACAGCAGGCCTGCTGCACTCGGAAGGGCAGCGCCTTCCTCCCGGGCCTGAAGCCCGACAGCAGGGGTGGGAGCCCGGGCGGGCACGTGGGCAGGGAGCTCAGTTGGCCCGACGCCGCCCCCGTGAGAGGCATGGTGGCTGCAGATGCTGGAAGTTGCTTGGGCCCAGCCCCACTGCAGGGGCCTCCTGCGCTCCTCGCTCCTCGGCCTGGCCCCGACCGCCCGTCCAACCCCAGGAGGGACACAGGTGGTGTGGGACCTGTGTCTTTCCACCATCCCCGATGCCCCAGAGGCTGCCGCCCCACCCAGCCTCACCAGAAACCACAGTCACCTCCCGCCAGGCCTCCCGAGTCTACCTCAGGACTTAGGGGTACAAGGCTGATAGTGACGAGTCCCCCCCATCCCGCCCTCGCCCTCCAGGCCACCCCTGGGTTTCCCTTCGCTGCCTGCTGGGCACCGACGGCCTTGGGCCCTGGCTCAGGCAGCTCCCTGGGTGTCCACACTGGCCCCACACAGCGCCACCCCAGCGCCTCCTCCCAAATGCCTGTCTGCTCCAGTCTGTGCTCGCTCCAGCATTTTCCGTCCCAGACTGGGGTTTTCTCCATGGTTCCTTGTGAGGCAGAGACAAGCATCCAGATGGCTCCGAGCCCTGTGGGGTCACAGGCAGGCCCCCCGCGCCCGAATCAGGGTGCTGAGGCGGGAGCAGCGTGCGGCCTTTCCGGGGGAGCCAGGTCACCTCAGCAGCCACGGCTCCCGCCCCTCCAGCTTCCAGGGGCTCCGGCATCCCAGCTCCTGGCCACCTCCTCTAGCTCCGAAGCCAGCAGCGTCGCCTCTTCCAGCCTCTCTGACTCAGCCTCCTGCCTCCGTCTGACAGTCTGACGGGGACCCCGCGCTAATGTTCGGCCGTGGAAGTGCTGGGCATCAGGCACGGGTGTTCTGGGGCCTTCACAGGGCCGGGTGTGTCCAGGCTGTCCGCTGGGCAGGAACCCCTTCGCTTCCCGCAGCTTGCCTTCCGAGCCCCGACACCCGCCTCCTTCGTGAGGGGCTGGGTCTCGTGTCCTTGCCCTCAGTGTCCAGGACAGCATCCAACACGGACGAGGCTGGTCACTGAGCGAGCTGGTGACTACCTGTGCCCGAAGCCTGGGCTGCCCTCCCCTGCCTCCCGTGCCGTTCAGGGCAGAACACGGGGCCCAGGGGTCCTTCTGGGTCCTCCACTGACTCCATCCCTGCTGAGACCGGCGAGGCAGAGGCCTGCAGTGCCCGGACACCAGGCCGGTCGGCTCCCAGCCCTTCCTCCGCAGGCCCCAGCCACTCCACTGTGCGCGGCAGAGGGCGCTGCGGCCATGGCCAGGAGCAGCATGACCCCCACCCTCTGCAGGTCTGGCCTGGGGGTTCTAGCAGACCAGGGCGGGTGCACCCAGGGCCCCAGGCCTGGAGCTCCTCGGGTCAGTAGGGGCAGTGGCTCTATCTGGGGAGCTGGGGGCCTAGGGCCCTCCCTGAGCCTGGGCAGCTGCAGGTCCTCGCTGACACATCAGAGGGAGTCTGGGGAGGCTGGCGAAGCCCCCCACAGCCAGGGCCTGGCCAAGCATCACCAGACCCTTGAGTCTCAGGGCGGCCCCCATGAGGCCTGGGACAGAGATCCCCACACTGTTTGCATGCTCAGGGCTGAGTATGGCCAGGTACACCTCATCCCAGGGCACAGGCTCACTGGGCTGTGGGGTCACCTGGATTGTGGGGTCACCTGGGCTGTGGGGTCACCAGGGCTGTGGGTCACCTGGAGTGTGGGGTCACCAGGGCTGTGGGGTCACCTGGGATGTTGGTCACCTGGAGTGTGGGGTCACCTGGGATGTGGGGTCACTGGGGCTGTGGGGTCAGCCGGGCTGTGGGGTCACCAGGAGTGTAGGGTCACCAGGGCTGTGGGGTCACCCGGGCTGTGGGTCACCTGGGCTGTGGGGTCACCTGGGCTGTGGGGTCACCTGGAGTGTGGGGTAACCTGGGCTGTGCAGTCACCGGGGCTGTAGGGTCACCTGGGCTGTGGGGTCACCGGGGCTGTGGGGTCACCTGGGCTGTGGGTCACCTGGGCTGTGGGGTCACCTGGAGTGTAGGGTCACCTGGGCTGTGGGGTCACCCGGGCTGTGGGGTCACCGGGGCTGTGGGGTCACCTGGAGTGTGGGGTAACCTGGGCTGTGCGGTCACCGGGGCTGTAGGGTCACCTGGGCTGTGGGTCACCTGGGATGTGGGGTCACCGGGGCTGTGGGGTCACCTGGGATGTGGGTCACCGGGGCTGTGGGGTCACCTGGGATGTGGGTCACCTGGGCTGTGGGGTTACCGGGGCTGTGGGGTCACCTGGAGTGTGGGATCACCGGGGCTGTAGGGTCACCTGGGCTGTGGGTCACCTGGCGTGGGCTTGGCTCCTGCCTGTGAAGGAGCGGTTAAAGAGAAGCCGTAACTGGCATCCGTGCCATGCTGTCCATGCCATGCTCCCATGGCCTCTCCTGGGACTGGACCTCTGCAGGTGGCCCCACCCCTCAGCATGAGACTCGGGAAGCTTCCTAGACCCTTTGTGGTGGTCACCAGCCGGCCTTTGCAGGGCTCACTCTTTTTCTTTTTCTTTTTTTTTTTTTTTTTGAGACAAGAGTTTCACTCTTGTTACCCAGGCTGGAGTGCAATGGCGCCATCTCGGCTCACCGCAACCTCCGCCTCCTGGGTTCAGGCAATTCTCCTGCCTCAGCCTCCTGAGTTGCTGGGATTACAGACACACACCACCATATCCAGCTAATTTTTTGTATTTTTAGTAGAGACGGGGTTTCACCATGTTGACCAGGATGGTCTCGATCTCTTGACCTCATGATCCACCCATCTCGGCCTCCAAAAGTTCTGGGATTACAGGCATGAGCCACCGTGCCAGGTCCCAGGGCTCACTCTTAAAGCTAAACTTTTTATTTCCTGCCCTTTCCTTCGAAGCCGGGGGTCCTGAGTGCAGCTGCAGACGATGGGTAGTCTCAGAGGCCTCCTGAAGTCTCCTGGGATCTCCTGCCTTCTGGGTGCCTGAGAAATTGGGGCAGGTCAGCTGGGACCCCCGGGTGCAGGGAAGGGCTGGGCTCATTGCTCAAATCCCTGTGTACTGGATGCAACAGGGTGGGAGGGGCTCGTCTCCCATCTGACTGGGGAACACCTGGAGTGCCGGGGTAAGGACCCAGGGTGGCGGTCACCCGGGTCCCTGGAAGGTGAAGGCCCAGGAGCTGGGGGCTTGGGACAGGGAGTGTCAGGGCCAGGCCAGGCTGGGGGCTGCTATCCCGTCCTCAGAGCTGGAGTCCCTAGGAAGGGCACTGTGGAGTCCTCCCAACCTGGGCCACTGGGGGCTGCTCTGGAGAGCACTGTGCCAAGTGGGGGGCACACCTGGTGAATGCCAAGGCCAGGGACAGTCACATGTGGATGGCACCTGTCCTGGGATGAGCCAAGTCCCCACAATGCATGTGCACGCCAGGTCTGAATGGGACCTCATTTGGAAATGGTGGGGCCGCCCTGCATGTGTAACTGGTGAAGCTGAGGGCACACTGGGTAGGCACGGGCCCCAAATCCAGGGACGGGGTACCCCTAGGAGGGCAGAGGACACTCCGGGAGAAGACCCTGTAAGGACAGAGGCAGAGACTGGAGAGACACAATCACGGGGCAAGGAGCCAGCCACTCCTGGCGAGCTCTGCCCAGGACCTCAGCCTCTGGACCTGTGTTCCAGGCCACCGGGGTTGTGCTTATTGTCACAGCAGCCTCAGGAAGCTAACACGGCCCCCACAGTGGACCAGCTGGGGCCACCCAGGAGGAGCTGGGAGTCAGTGGGAGCCACAGAGGCCCTTGGGGTGCTTCTGGGGGAGGCTTTCCTGGGAGTAATAGGCGAGGGGAGGGTCCCCAGCTCCCCACTCCTACCCCAGGGGTGGCTGCAGCAGAGAAAGGCAGGCCCAGGGAAGCAGGGGGTTCCTCCATTAATGATCAGTTGCAAACACCTCTGAGCTCTGGGCAGGTGGGCGGCGGTGGTCCCAGCAGGCGTCCCAGTCACAGCTGGGCCAGTGGAGACGGTCCCCGCTGGCCAGGAGGGCCCGATGGCTGGGGGGAGCTGGGCAGGCGCTCCAGGACCCTCCCTGCAGCCCACATGCTGGGCTCTGGCTGGAGGACCCTGGGACTTGGCCCTCTTCCCTACCCCTATCCCCAGGGCCCTCCTGCACCCAGGAGTGGCGTTCACCCCACTGGCTGCAGAGACAGGATGTCCTCTAGAGAGGCCTACTCCAGAACTCAAAATAGCATGAAATTTAATTTTCCGCCTATTTGACAAGGCTGGGTCCGGGCCCCAGTGAGCAGCAGAGATAAGGGTCCCGGGGGCCCGGGGGCGAGCCAGCTGCGCCCACACAAACACTCCACGGTCCCCGGGCAGACCGCGTGCAGGTGAGGCCGGGGTGTGCTCCCCCCTTGGGGCCCTGGTTGCTGGGCGCTAAAGCAAACGGGCTCTATTTGCCCAGTCTGCAATGACAATGCTGTCGCCAAATATTTACCAGCCCCTGGCGGCTGCAGAGCCCGGCTATAAATGCTTGTCCAGGTGGAGGTGCGCCTTCGGAGCAAGAGCTGCGGGCCCTGACCAGGTAGGAGCCAGGGTCTGGGGGGCGGGGGCTGCTGGGGACCGCCACAGCCGTGGACACTGTGAGTCTGTGAGTCCTTCTGTCCAGGGCTTTGGGTGAGTCCCCCAGAGCGTTGGGCTGGCCCAGGGCTGGGCAGGCATCGGGGCAGGTGGTCACGGGAGGGTGCCTGCGTCTGGACAGTCTGTGAGCAGCCAGCCCCAAAGTCTAGAGGTCAGCCCACTGCACGCCTCCCAGGACAGGGACGCCAGCACTTGAGTGAGATTAGGACCATGGTGTGGCCAGCCATGTCTGGGGGCCTCAAAGCTCACCTCCCTGACAGCCAGCGGGGAAACATCCTGACCCAGAGGAACCCCTGTCCCAGTGCTCTGGCTGCTCCCTGCAGCCCTCGCCCCTCTGCGCAGCCGCTCTCCCTCCCGCAGACGTCCTCCCTCCCCGCAGCCCTCCTCCCTCCCTCCCTGCAGCCCTCCTCCCTCCCTCTGCCCCTCTGCCCTAGGCTCCAGACAAGACAGGCTCAGGCTACCTGGCCCCGGGACACCTCGAGGAGGGGCTGGGTGGCCCTGGTCTCTGTGGTGGGCCCTGCCTGGCAGCTGGCCCAGAGCGGTGAGTGGACCCATCCCACAGTCACCACCCAGACACCCTCCTGCCAGGCTCCTCACCCCAGTGCTTCCCTTCAGTGGTCCCGGCCAAGTGCAGCGACCCCCAAAGCCCACCCCTTTAGGGACCTCCCACCTCAGCTGCCTCCATCATCACAGAGTTAGGACCACTGGGGTGCTGCCTCCTGTTCTCATGGGACTGCGATGGCCCCAAAGAACCCCACAGCGGCTGCACGAGCTCTGGGCCCAGTATGGCCGATGTCCCCACTTTCATTAAGAACCATGGAGCCCCTGGGTCTGATGCCACAGCAGCCCCAGACTGGGACCCAGCTCCGGCTCAGCAGCCCCCGTCCCCCTGCCCTGCGAGGGTCCCTGGCCACCTGCCTGGCTTCTCCAGGCCCAGTCCCCAGGGCCTCCCCTCTTCCACCCAATGTGCTCCCCTGTCCAGTGACCACAATTCTAGTGACGCCATCCCCGTGCCCCACCCGACTGCCCCCCACAACAGGACCCCACGGCTCCTGCCAGTGGCCATCCTGAGTTCAGCAGGCCTCAGCCCCAGCTGACCATGCCATCATGCCCCAGCCACGCGGCCACAGTGCCCACCCTGTCTCTCCCCACACCTCACTCCTGTGGTGACCCATGCCCTCAACAAGCACAACTGGGGGCCCGGGACCTCCAGGGAGCTGAGGAGCTGAGGAAGTTCTCCAGGGGAGGCCACAGACCTGGGGGCTCCGAGTGCAGCGGTCGTGGGTGGCCGGGGCATGGCCAGGCCTCACAGGGAACCCGCCCCTCGGTCTCCCTCCCCAGCCAGTGCCTGCTGCCCCGGAGGTCCCCGAAGTGTGGGAGAGCACGGAGATGGCCGCTGGCGTGATCCGGCCCCTGTGTGACTTCCGGCTGCCCCTGCTGCGCCACCACCCTGTCGCGCCCTCAGATCCGGAGCCCCCAGAGACTTCGGAGGAGGACGAGGAGGAGGAGGATGAGGAGGAGTTGGAGAGCGAGGGGCCGGGGGGCTGCAGCCCGATCCTCCCGGGCTCAGGCCGGGCAGAGGCCCCCTCGGAGGCAGCCCCTCAGGGTCCCAGCAGCCCCGAGCCACCGCTGCAGCTGCTGCGTTTCTCAGAGCTCATCAGCGACGACATCCAGCGGTACTTTGGCCGCAAGGACAAGGGGCAGGACCCAGATGCCTGCGACATCTATGCCGACAGCCGCCCGGCCAGCATCACCGCCCGGGAGCTCTACTACGCAGACCTGGTGCACCTGGCCCGCGGCGGGGCCCTGGAGGATGAGGACACCCCAGAGCCCAGGGTCCCTCAGGGGCAGGTGCGCAGGCCGGGCCTCAGTGGGGACGGGCCACAGCCCCTGGGACCCCTGGCCGAGCTCTTCGACTATGGGCTGCGGCGGTACTGGGGGCCCAGGGCGGCAGCCAGCTGGAGCCTGAGGCTGGAGCGGAAGTATGGCCATATCACCCCCATGGCCCAGAGGAAGCTGCCCCCGTCCTTCTGGAAGGAGCCGACCCCCAGCCCCCTGGGTCTGCTGCACCCTGGCACGCCGGACTTCAGCGACCTGCTGGCCAGCTGGTCAGCCGAGGGCTGTCCTGAGCTGCCTGGTGGGGGAACCCCAGCCCTGGAAGGGGCACAGCCAGCTGAGGCCTAGCGAGGGGTCGGGGTCGGAGTGAGCTGGCCGCAGCGGGGCTGCCTACTGAGGCAAAAGACTCTCCTCCCGTCCTCCTGGGAAGAGCCTCCTCCATCCCTCTTGGCCACCACAGGGCAAACCCAGACGCCACTAGGGCTGGACTGCGGTGGGAGCAGCAAGAGCAGTGCCCAGACCTGGCCATGCCCTGGCCTTCAGCCCCAGCAGAGCCCTGGAGGGGCACAGGGACCCCCAGAGCCCTGCCCACAGACTGAGGGGGCTCCACCCACCAGCGGCCCCCAGGGGAGGCTGAGGGGCCAGCCCCAGAGATTCCAGGTCAGCGGCAAGGGACAGTGGAGGACAGAGCCCCCTGGGCCGGCCCTCCCGCTGCCTGCTCGCCCTTGGGCTGGGTGGCCTGGGCCCCCCCGCACATGGTGGCAGGGTTGGCAACCACAGGAGGAGCGAGGGCTTTCCTGGAGAGGCAGGAAGAGGGCCACTGCCTGACCAAAAGAGCAAACAAGGGCTGTTTTCCTCCCCAGATGTTGGAAGGCGCTTCCCTGCAGGGGCGCCGGGTTGGAGGGGCTGCGAGGCAGAGCAGGGAGTCTGAGGCAGGCCAGGCAGCTTCCCCGGGTCCTCTCACAACCCAGGCAGGGGCAGCTCATGGCGGGTTCTGGCGGAGACTGGCCTGGGTGCTTCTGTGCAGGCCCCAGCCCAGCCCCTTCCACCCCGGGGGGCTCTGGCAGCCCTAGGGGGCCCGGCAGGGAGGGAGAGGGGCTGGGGTGCCATGAAAAGCAAAGGCCTGCAGCCAGGCCGGGCCTGTCAGGACAGGAAGAGTCGTGGGGATCAAGGGACTGGGCCCCTCCAGGCTCGGGCAGCCCACTGTCTGGGGCCTCCTCACCACCCCTCTCAGCACCGCAGACCCTGGGGAGCCCCCCACCCCCAGCAGGCATCAGGGAACCTCAGCTCTAATGAGAACAAGGCCAGCACGTTTACTTCTGGATAAAGAGCGAGGGTGGGAGCCGCTGCACCTGCTCCCGGCCATGGGGCTTCTCTGGGACCCCTCCTGGCCTCTGACGGGCCCTGAGCTTTGTGAGAGACACCTTCCACTGCAGCCACCTGTCCAGAGACGTGGCACGTGGCCCCTGCACTCCTGCCCCACTCTCCTTGGGCCCCTCCAACCCCGCACCCTGACCCAAAGGTACAGGAGGCTGCTCGGGAATCCCTGCTGCCCACCTCACAGCCTGGTACACGCCCCAGCAGTTCACAGGCGCCACCTCGCCGGGCGCCACATCCTTGATGAAGACCCGCTGCCTCGCCAGGGATGGGAGCGCCTTGCTGCCCAGCGGCGCCCGAGGGCCCTTCTCACTCCACAGCCGCAGCACGGTCTCCCGCAGGGCGGCCATCTCCTGCGTGCGCTGTGGGACGGGGATGCCAGCGTCACCCAGGAGCCAGACCCCAGGGCAGGAGACGGCAAACAGGGGGCTTATCTCCCACCTGGAGCCCAGAAGCCATGGTCTTCAGGGAAACACTGCCCAGCGCCAGACACTCAGACAGACAGATGTGGGAAGGCGGCAGGGCTGAGGGAGTGGGGGGGTGCCGGGTGCTGGCAGCCCAGGGCCTCCTCACCAGCCGGGCCTCGCTGTTGAACTTGAGGTTCTGGATGGTCTTGTTGGCCTGGATACAGCTTTCCAGCTTCATTATTTGGTTCTGAAACTAAACACGGCCCCCATTTGGGCACAGACGGGGCCGGTCTGTCGGGGTCCTGCCGTCCGCACGGACGTCCCCACTCCTGCTGTTGACTGCTTGGAGTTTGGGCAGGGGCCACCTGCCCACACACTGGCCCTTGCCCCACTTCAGGGCCTGGGACAAGCTCTGCTGAGGAAGGGGTGGCTGGAGAGCGGCCCCGCAGGGACCCGGCGAGGGCTCAGGGCTGCTCCCGCCCTCGTGGCCACAGACGCCCCAGTGTGGGAGCTCCAAGCAGGGGCCTCCACTTGGAACTTCCAGAGGCTGAGACAAGCCAGCACAGCTTTTTTTTGAGACGGAGTCCCCGCTCCAGTGGCACAATTTCGGCTCACTGCAACCTCCTCCGTCCAGGTTCAAGTGATTCTCCTGCCTCAGCCTCCGAAGTAGCTGAGATTACAGGCATGCTCCACCACACCTGGCTAATTTTAGCATTTTTAGTAGAGATGGGGTTTCTCTACGTTGGTCAGGCTGGTCTAAACCTCCCGACCTTGGCCTCCCAGAGTGCTGGGACTCCAGGCGTGAGCTACTGCACCCAGCCTCAGATAGCTGTTTTTCTGAGCCTCTCCTTAGGCTGGGGGTCCTGCCCGCATGGCTGTCCCGTCTGACCCCGATGGCTCCCCTTCTACTCCAGCCGGGCAGGGGCAGCCCCGGGATTACCGTGGCCAGCTTGCCCTGCATCTCCGCAATCTTCCGCCCGGGGCTGTCTTCCTTCAGCAGCTGCACAGATGACAGCAGCGTGGCCAGCTCCTGCCGCAGGGCCCCCACCTCGAACTCCCTGTGGCACCAGATGCCGGGGCCGGCTGTGGTGTGTGCTCAGGGGTAGGGCCGGGACCAGGGATATGGGCTGCTCCCACAGCCACCATAGGGCTAAGGAGGCTTGAGGGGGATCAGCTCTGTCACCCCTCCAGTGAGGAAGGTGGAGGTCCCCAGCAGACAGCAGAGGGAGGGCTTGAGGCTCCTGAGAGCAGCACCAGGGTGGCGAGGTGAGCACGTCTGTCACGGCACTGGGGGGCTTGTGGAGAGCAGCGAGCATGGGGACTGGCCCAGCCCAGTGATGGTCAGTAGGGCCCCTGCCCGCGTCCCAGGGCCCCGGAGGCTGCACCTGGCCTTGCCTTCAGCAGAAATCCTGAGATCCGAGTCGCTCTTGTGAAGCAGGCACTTGTCTGAGACGCCCTCTATCTGAAGAGAGCCGGGAGCAGCGGGCGGCCCCAGGGCCCAGTCTAGCACCAGCTTCGGCCTCAGCCCCCGGGACAGGGAGAAGAGGAGAGGACAGGGAGGGGAGGGGTCCCACACCACCGCCAAGGCTAAATGCACCAGGCTGGGTGTGCCTTCGCCCACCATCTGGGGGAGGCCGTCCAGCTTCTCCCGCACACCCCGTAGGGGCTGGCTGTGCCTTCGCCCACCTTCTGGGGGAGGCCGTCCAGCTTCTCCCGCACCCCCCGCAGGTATGCGGCCACTTCCTTCTGCCATCTGGCCAGGTCCTCCAGGGACTTCCTCTCTGCACCTTCCCATTTAGTCTTTGCCTGGGGTACAGACACCCAGTGAGGGACAGAGCCCACATTGGGAGGACAGACAGAGGGATGGATGGACAGACGGACAGAGAGCTCCGGGGGGCAGGCGGTCCCACGTGCACTTCCAACTCTGAGACATGTGTGCACCGGTCTGCAGACAGCTGGGATGGCCCAGCCAGGCACGCTCTGGGGACACACATGCCATGGGGGCTCGGGCAGTCAACGGACTGTGGAGCTGTTCTGACCACACAGGTGCCCAAGGGAGGCAGGGCCGGCCCCAATGGGATTCAGCCCTGAATCACAGGCTGTCCTGACGTCTGTCCGTGGATGAGCGGGAACCTGGGGGCAGTGTCCACGCAAGGCGCATTACAAAGCGGTGGAAGGGATAAAGCTCTGTGCATGAGCCAAGGAGTGGGGAACAGGACGCCCATGGGTGTCCCTGACAAAGCGGCTGCATGGTGCATGGCTCTGTTTCCTGAAAATGTCCAGAACAGGCTGGGCTGGGAGACAGGGAGGGGACCGAGTGGCCAGGGGGCGGGGGATGGGAATGAGCGAGGACGGGGCTGGGATTCTTTCTGGGGATGAACGCTGTGAAATTGTGGGCATGATGGCCGGCCCTGTGAACAGACTAAACACGGAACCGCGTGCATTCACGGGTGAGTTGCGTGGGAGAGAATCCTTCTCAATAGAGCCGTGAAAAAGTGAACATGCACACGCTGGTGGGGGCCGCTTGTCTGCCCCTCTGCGAGCGGCCCGACGCGTAGCTGGGCCGTAGGTCAAGGTTCCAACTCAGGCCTCAGGGGCTGCAGGTGCTGGACCGAGGCCCTCAGGGGCTGTCCTGCCCCACACAGGAGTCTCTGGGACTCGGAGTCCCCCAGGCCCTGGGGACAGTTGTTGGGTGGGATGGGAAGCTTGCGACAGGCCTGTCGGGCCTCTACCCTGGGGGTAGTGGTGGGCTGAGAGCCGAGCGGTGGGGACTCCCCCCAGCCTGCCTGCCCCCCACCGCCTAGCGCACCTCGGACAGCCTGAGGCCCAGCATCTGCTCCTGCAGGTCGAGCCGGCTGCTCAGGGCTGGGAGGCGGTCACTCAGCTCCTTTACCCGCCCGGCCAGCTGCACCACTGACACCTCCAGAGCCTGGCTCTTCTCTCGGAGCTGCGGGGGACAGGTGGGTGCGGGGAGGCCCAGCTAAGGGCCCATCCTGTGTGCAGGGGGGACCCCGTGGGGGCCGTGATGCGCTGCCCCCCCTCACCAGTGCCAGCTCGCCATGTATCTCCTGCCGGGCCAGCTTCCCGGCCAGCTGGGCAGCCTCCAGGTTCTCCTGCACATAGGTGGCCAGCTCCCCGGCCCGGCTGTCCTCCAAGCGCCCCTTGGCATCCCTAGGGGTTGGGGACACATAGACGCCCTCAGCGGGTCCTGCCCACCCCTCAGCACTGGGCCCGGGAGGGAAGCTTGGCTGCTGGCTCTGGAACCTCCCAAGAGATCCTGGGATCGTTAGATGGGGTACAGTCACAGTGCCACCAAGATAGGGCTTCACTGCTGACTGCCACAGCTGAGCACCCCAGGGAGGGCAGGCTGGAGTCCCCATGGGAGGAGTGGCTGCACAGCTGCCCCGTCTGAACCTGGCTGCACCTCTGGGGTCAAGCACTCTGCTGGGAGAGGCAAGGTCATTCTCTGCTGCGTCGGCCACCGTGGCCCCTTCAGAGTGGTACATTAGGGTTCCCCCAGCCTGACAGCACCTGAGGCCCCAGGATACCCACCAGGCCTTCTCCTCGGCCAGCAGGACACGGTTCAGCGACGCCTGGTTCTGCTGCACAAACTTGGTGAGCTGGGCCACAGCCGCATCCAGGCCCTGGCACTGCTCCAGGAGGTGGCTCTCCTGCTGCAGAGTAGAGGCTGCCCTGAGACCCGAACCCCAGCCCTGGCCCTGCCCGCCCCGCTGCTGCCCACCCAGCCCACCTCACTCTGCCCCTGCAGGGCCCGCAGGCGCTCCTCCATCAGTCCCTGCAGCTTCTCCCACCGGCTCTCCAGCTCGCCCCGCAGGCTGCCCTCCAGCCTCAGCCTGGAGCTCTCCGAGGCCCTCATTCTCTGCGGGGAGACCCCACCATCCACTGCAGGTCTGCCTCTGGGAAGGGGACGTGGGGCAGGCCGGCCGCAGGCAGGCTCCCACCTTCTCGAGGGCCAGGAAGCTCTTCTGCAGGAAGCCGCACAGCTTGGCCTCCCTCTTCAGGAAGCGCAGGCTCACCTCTTCGCCGAGCCTGGTCATCTGGGCCTGGAGCAGGGGCACATTGTCCCGTGGGCAGCCTCTGCCAGACACCCGGCCGGTCCCGCTTCTGCCCATGGTCTCCAGCAGAGTTGGAGTCCCCTGCTGTCCCCCAGCCCAGCAGAGCAGGGCCTGCCACGCCCTCGGCTGGAAGAAAGCCAGGACGGGCAGGAGCACTCTGTACGCAGATACCGACCAGGCACGGGTGTGAGAAGGAAGCGCCTGAAGGCCACGTTCATGTGAGGTCCAGACACGCTTGGCATCCACCACCAATGCCACCCAGGGAAGGCCGCCCAGCTGCCACTATGCCCCGGCAGGGAAGCAGGAATGCCGTGTGGGCATCCCCATGCAGGGGAAGCCAGGCAGGCTGACCAGAGCCTTGGGGCCCTGTCTCCACCCCAACGGCTGCTTTCCTGCTGCACTGAGGGTCTGAAGGGGACGGGAAAGCGGATATGCCACCGGCCCTGTACCTGCATCTCACACACCCAAAGGGCAGGCAGGTGGCACAGGCCCTTCGCCAGCCACAGAGAGAGCACCTCCCGGGAACCTTCCCCTCTGCCCAAGCCCCTGTTGGCCCCCTGGCCCCCAGGAGTCCCCCTTAGAGCAGATATTTTTTTGTAAAAAGCCAGATGGTACACGTTCCAACCTCGTGGGGTCTCTGTTGTAACCCTCTCAGCGCGGCGGTTACAGCCCCCAGAGCAGATGTTGATAATGTGTAAAAAAATGTTTGTGTGTGCCAATAAAACTCTATTTACAAAAACAAGCAGTGGCTGACGCCTGTAATCCCAGCACTTTGGGAGGCCAAGGTGGGCGGATTACCTGAGGTCAGGAGTTCGAGACCAGCCTGGCCAACATGGTGAAACCCCGTCTCTACTAAAAGTACAAAAATTAGCTGGGCAATGTGGCGGGTGCCTGTCATTCCAGCTACTCTGGAGGAGGCTGAGGGAGACTCGCTTGAACCCGGGATATGGAGGTTGCAGGGAACCGAGACTGTCCCACTGCATTCCAGCCTGGGCAACAGAACCAGACTCTTTTTTTTTTTTTCCCTCCTCTCCACTACCAAGACTGTCTCAAAAGAAAGAAAAAGCTTTTTGGGAGGTCGAGGTAGGAGGATCACTTGAGCCCTGGAGTTTGAGACCAGCCTGGGCAATGCAGTGAGACCTCGTCTCTACAAAACATAAAAAAATGACCCAGGCAGGGTGCATGTGCCCACAGTCCCAGCTACTTGGGAGGCCGAGGCAGGAGAATCACTTGAGCCTGGGAGGTCGAGGCTGCAGTGAGCTGTGACTGTACCACTGCACTCCAGTCTGAGCAAACGAGCAATACCCTGTCTTAAAATAAGAAACAAGTGGTGGCCTGGCTTTGCTGTCTCTGGCCCTAGAGATCACTCAGCCACCTGTGCTCAGGGAAAGGCGGACACCCTCATAAGCGGCAGCTCCCCCCACACCTGGCACCTCGGGAATCCTCAGCCCAGCACCTCTGCCTGCTCCACACAGCCACTCAATAGCTTCCCAAAGGGCAGCAGAGCTATGCGGGTGGCAGCTGGGGCGCCCCAGCCGTCCTGGCCCCACACCAGGCATGCAACCTGGCGTGCACCGAAACTTGCTACAGTCCCCAGTCTCTCTTTGTGGAGCTCAGGCCTGGGCTGCAGAAATGTGCAGCTGCCCGGTCCCCTCCCCAGCCATTGCGGGGGCCCCTGCTAAGGCAACAGTGGGAGGGGGAGCTGCTCTGGCCCAGTGGACAGGACCCTGGGTTCTAGGAACTCGTGTCCCCAGAAAGGCGACTCCCGCTTTGTGTGCAGGGAGAGGCAAAGCCTCAAAGTGGCTGTGGAAGGGGCTTCGGGGCTGAGAACTGTTGGTCCGGGCAGGCGCCAGCTGTGTGGGGAGGGCCACAGGGGCAGGACACAGCCTGGGGCGAAGCGCGCCTGGACCTATAGCTGCCGGCCTCACATGGCCACTGAATGTTTTGTTTTTTTTGAGATGGGGTCTTGCTGTGCTGCCCAAGCTGGTCTTGACTTCCCAGGCTCCAGTGATCCTCCTGCTTCCACCTCTCAAAGTGCTGGGATTACGGGCATAAGCCACTGCACATGGCCTCAGCCGTTGCAACGGGCACGTCTGACTGAGGAATTTCACTTTAAATCATCTACAATCGTAGCTGATTTCAAGGGACACAGCTACGTGGCGAGCGGCCGCCACATTGGATGGCACTGGCCAGGAGGAGTGTCTCCTCCTCGCCCTCCAGCTGGACCCGGACCGGCCCCCTGAAGGCTGGGCCTGGCCCAGTGGTACCTCCATCCTGGCCACCTCCAGGTCCATCCTCCGGCTGCTGTCCTCCTGGTCCTTCCGCAGGGCGCTGCAGGCCACCTCCCGGCCCTCCTCCTCCTGCCGCAGCAAGTCGGTCAGCTTGGCCAGCCTAGAGACATCGGCTGCGGTCACAGCAGGGTAAGGCTGATCCACAGCCCGGCCACGCAGCAGGTGGACGCCCGCCCACTGCAGGGAAACAGAGGAGCCAGAAACACGGCAGGGCCGGGGTGAATCTTGCCCACGGAGGGTCCTCGGCGGGCCCAGGCTCTCCAGCACGCTCAGCACCCAGTGCGGGTGCCCCTCTGGCTTACTGGGGATGCATGGCAGGGAGACCCACGTCTTGGCTCAGACAGGGACTCTCAAATGAGCCAGCCCCGGGTGGCGGGTGCCCACCTGAGGCCGGCCTCCTGCTCGGCGCCCTTCCGCTCCGCCTCCAGCTGTGCCTGCCTCCTCCTGAGTTGGCTCAAGGCTTCCCGGATCTCCACCAGCCTGGCACACAACCAAATCGCTCCCGAGAGGCCCAGGTGGACTGAGCAGCCTCTGGGGGCTGGGGTCCAGCTGAGGGGCCCCTGTGGCCACCTCCCACGGCTTTCCCGGGTCTCTGCGGGCTGGCCAGGGGTGTACAAACCCGGCCCTTTCTAGGTGGACCTGGATGTGTATCCCTTACTCCAGGACACCCCACAGGGGAAGTGGACCCCCCACCAGACCTGCCACTGCTCTCCTGCTGTGGCCTCCCCATCCTGGGCCTATGCCTTTGGGTGTGTGGGGCTTACCTTTTGTCCAGGGCCTGCATCTGGTTCTGCAGGCCAGAGAACTGATAGGAGGAAGGAGGAGGAGGCAGTGGCAGCGGCGGCTGAGGGCTGGGCCCAGACCCGGGCCTCGCACCTGCCCTTAGAGTCTACCCAGCTCCAGCACCGCCAGCCCGTGGGAGCTCTGGGCCTGGGCAGCAGGGGTGAGCTGGGCTCCAGGCGCAGAAGCAGCTGCCCCTAACACCCAGGAAGGGGCAGCCGGACCTGTGGGTTTGGGGTGCCGCTCACCTCCTGTGCCTCCTTCTCGGGGGCCTGGGCCGCCGGCCACACCTCCTGCCTCAGCTGCCTCAGCTCCGAGCCCTGCAGCTCCAGGCGGGCCCGCACCTGCAGCAGGGCGCCCAGCAGGCTCCGCGTGGCGCGCTCACAACGCCGCCTGTGCTCCCGCAGACGGGCCCCCTCGGCCTGCAGCTCCACCACCCTGGCCGGGGCGAGAGTGGGTGAGTCTGGAGGTGCCCCCAGCGGACGCAGAGGTCCTCCCTCCCCAGAGCCCCCAACAGGGCTCACCACTGCTCCAGCTGTCTCCAGCGCTTGGCCGCGTCCTGCTCTGGGACGGAGGCCGTGGATGTTGGGTGGCTGGACTCATACCTCTCCGAGAGCTCTTCCAGGCTCGAGGGCTCGGGGCTGGCCAGGTCTCCAGCCAGGAGGGGCCCCAGGTCTTCCAGGGTGACGGTGCTCGGCTGGGAAGGGGCCGATGGCCCTGAGGGGCTGTTGTCAGCCGGTTCTGCAAGGAGGCATCTTAGGAGTTCACTCCTCGGGGCCCGGCTCCCACTGGAGCTTACAGGAACAGGGACCCAAATCCCTGCAGGACCCTCGCCCACCACCCAGAGCCCAACGAGTCTCCCTGAGTCATACAGGATCCCGATGGGCTCAGCTCAGAGAAGTCCAGGGCCTGAAGACACACAGCACTGGGGGGCAGCGGCATGGTGGCACCCCACCCAGCCAGCTCCAGAGGGAGCCCCAGGGTCAGCAGCAGAGCTGCCTCCACCTCCGCCCCCACGGCAGGCCCTCCCTGGGCCCCCAAACCTGTGCTCCCCGCCCTCGGCTCTGGCTCACCTGACATGGCTGCCTGGGCTGCACCAGCCACTCTGCCCGATGCTGTGACCCACGCCTGGGGCCTCTCAGGCCAGGGCAGCAGGGGCCAGAGGGAGGAAGTCCCGGGAAGACTCCAGGCCTCGGTGTCGAGGGATGAGCTGCTGCACTAGTCCAGATGCCTTCCCAGGGGCCGCGAGGAGGCAGGTGTTGGGGGCCAGCAGGGCTGTTCTGGAACCTTCCTTCTCTCCCCAGAACCTCGTGGCTTCACAGCCCAACTGCCAGTAGCCCTGGAGCCCTCAGCTCCCCCACTCCCACAGGCCCCCAACTGACTGCTCCCCGATGGATCAGGGGCCCATTCCCCAGGGGGTACAGACACCTATCCTCTGGCAAAAGGGGCTTCCTTCAGCTGCTGGGGGAGGGGCGGGAAGGGGGGACCTGAAAGTCCCAGGACAGTAGACCCAGCCAGGCCCCAGCTGAGCAGAGCCCGAGGCCTGGGCAGCGCCGATAGGGTGGGAGGGGCAGCCAGGCTCCGGGTAACCTCAGCCTTGCTTAGCAGCCCCATTCAAAAACAGAGGCCATGTGAATCCTAACAGTTTGTTTTATTTAACCTAATATTCCAAAATATTATCACTTCCAGGTATTCAGCACAGAATCCACCGTGAAGGAACCCCGCCCCAAGCTCCTGGTGCCGCCACAGAGGCCGGGAGCTTTCCTCCTTGCTTCAGTGCAGTTCAGGTCCCCGCGGCATCGCCCCTGCCCGACCTCCACCGGGAGCACCTCGGCCTCATCCCCAGACCTGCCAGCCAGAGGCCCGCAGGAGGCAGGCTGAGGGGTGGGGATGAGGAAGAGGGTGAGGCAGGTGCCCCAGGTGAGGCAGGCACTTCCTGTCCTGTCGGCCCCGGTGGCTGCGGCGACTTTCACGCCTCTCCTTCTACCCAGCACCCCAACCCGAGCCCTGAAAGTCCCAGGCTGTTACAAGTGGTCCGGGCGGGTGGCAGGGGCGATACTGGATTTATTTATTTCACATATTCAGACCCGACACAGATACTTTGGGGCCCTGTAAGGGCTAAGCAGGGGGTGCGGCGTTAGCTCCTGGGGAGGCCCCACTCCCTGGGAAGGAAATACATGGCAGGGCGCCGCATCCAGCACCCCCCACGGAGGGACCAGTGTTGCTCTAACAGGGACACTGAGGTTGCTTCTAATGCCCTGTGAGAAAGGGCCCTGTGGTGACCGCAGACCCAGCCCAGCCAGGCAGGAAGGGAGCCTTCGAGGAGCCCTCAGGTGGGCAGGTGGGGGGCTTCTCAGCCCCGGTGCCCACCAGTCCTTCTAGCCACCTGGGCTGGGCCTGATGTCTTCCCAGGCCAGGAGGAGGCTGACTCCTGCTGCATTTGCACTTGGTGGCTGGCAGGGGTGGGGCAGGGCAGGGAGGCGTAAGATACCTGCCCACTGCAGGGAAACAGAGGAGCTGTAGCCAGGGTCCCCACACGCAAGACCTCCTTCCCAGCCAGTTCCACAGGGCAGCACCTCCAAGCTCTGAGGCTCGGGGACTAAGGCAGGGGTGGGCATGGGCTCAGACTCCAAGTTCCAGGGGTCGGGGGACCGAGACAGGGCTGGGCATGGGCTCAGGGCCTCGATGGTTTTGCTCAGCTCTCAACACTGCAGCATGGGGCCTGTCACCCCAGTTCTCCGGGCCTGTGTCCTCAAGTCAGACGCCGGCTGGGGAGTGCACATGGGGCTCCCCCTGTGGCGACGATGCCGTGAGGCTGCTCTCAGGGCTGTCCCACTCTCCATACCCCGGCGTGACAAGTCTATGGCTCAAGCTCAGGAACCACAGGCCGTCTGCTCACAGGGGAAAACAAGGTCAAGCCTGTGGTTGTAGGCCAGGCCGGGTCACATCTGGAAGTCCGCTGGTGTGGAGGCAAGAGAAGCCCTTCTGCAGCAGGACGGCCCTCGGGGCAGCAGCGGGGTAGGGCTCTGTCTCAGGCTCAAGAGGCCAAGCGCCTAGAAGGGGGCCACACACACACACAGAGGACCCCTAGAGGCGAAGGAACCTAGGCGACGAGGGTGGCGGCTGGGCCTGCGCAGGGAGGCGCCAAGGGTGGAGACCACAACAGGGTCAGTCCCACGAGAGTCCATCCCAGGGCCTGCCGCCCCCGGCCCAGTGGCAGGGTGCGCGCCATTGCCGCTGCTGGGGAGCGTGGTTTGGGCCGAGAGAGCAGTGACTCTGGGAGGAGGTGCGGAGGGGCCCAGGGTGCCAGCGCTGGTGCCCACCATGGGCGGCGCTGGGCCTCACGTCTGGGCCAGCGAGAGCTCCTCCAAGCCTCCCTTTCCCAGGCGGTACCTGGCGAGGTCCTTCCTGGTCACCAGCCCAACAACCTGCAGGACAAGGCCAGGCCACAGTGACCCATGGGTAAGCCCCTGCCTGCCGGTGGAGGCCCCTGGGCAGCACAGCCGAGGAGCCCCGAGGGCTTCAGCATAGCCCCTGAGCTGAGCACAGGGCTGGGAAGGGGTGCGGTCCTGGGGCATGGGCCGTGGTGCGGGTCCCCAGCAGGGGGCTGAGATGAGCCTACGTAGGAGGCAGAGGGCCCTGCACATCCCAGCGCATCCCCGCCCCGGCTCACCTGGTTTCGGTTGTCCACCACCACCAGGTGCCGCAGGCCCAGGGCCCGGAACAGCTTGAACACACGCGGGAGTGACGCCTCCTGCAGCGAGACGCAGCTGTCAGCATCCGCTCACATGCCAGAGGCAGGCAGGACCTCCCGCTGGCTCCCAGCACCCACTCCACAGTGTCTAGGCACGTCCTGGGCCCCCATGCCCGTCTGGTCAGCCTGTTCGGCCGGACTTTGGCTCTATGACCCAAACCCTCAATCCCTGCTGCTGCCCAGGGATCCTGGAAACCCTGCCAGGCCTCCTTCCCGGGAGACAGAGTCATCGAGTCCCAGCTGCTTCTCGCCTTCCCCTGGGCCCCTGGCCACCCGTCCAGGGGGCTCTGGATCACAAGGCCCACTGTTTGGCCTGGAGCCCCTGTGCCTCCACTCCGCACGTGCCTGGGGCACTGTGTAGGGGGAGGGGTTCATGAACTCGGAGAGGTCCATGGTGCACTCGCGCTCGTCCTGGGACACGTGGATGGACTGGATGGGCGGGAAGCGCGGGTAGGCGTCTCGGAAGTCCTTCAGCCTCAGGCGCCGCTGCACCAGGCCCATGTTGGAGCGCTCGACAAACACCTGCGGGCAGCAGATCCCTGATCAGTCACTGTTGCAGCCTCCCAGGGGCTCCCACCGCCGGCGCTCCAGAGCCTGGCGCGTACCTTGTGCTTCAGGAGGACGATGAGCTGGGAGCGCAGGATCAGGCCCTGGAGCCGGTTCGGCTGCAAGAGACGCCCACTGTCAGAGCCACGGTGCCCGAGGTGGGGCTGCGCTGGGATGCTGTGCCGGGCCCCAGCTCCGACCCTGCTCTAGCCCAGTGCCCCATCTGGGTGTGGGCGCTGTGTCAACGGCCATCTGCTCACATCAGCCTCGCCGTGGCATTCCACGTGCACAATGCCACGGGTTCCCAAGGATCAGTGACAGGGCAGCGGGTCTGACCGCACACAGCAGAAAGCCAGGGGCCCAGGGAATGGGGCTCTGCTGCAGGGCAGATGCAGCTCCATTGTGCCCAATAAAAGCCACCCCCAAACCCCCAGTGTCCACGTCCAAGGGGTGCACGGCCGTGGCCCAGCTGCGTGTCCCGTCAGGGCCTCCTGATGAAGTCCTGGTCCCCAGCACCATGGCTATGCCTAGCCCGGGTGCTGACCTCAAGGCCCTGACGGGCCACAACCCCACCCAGCCTCGGCACCCACATGGCCCCACATGGCCCCACACTCAGCTCCCAGTGCTCCTGGAACCGACAGTGCACCCGAATGCGCTGCCTCCCATCCTGCCAACCTCCCCGTGTGCTTCCCACCGCTGGGCTGGACAGAGGGGGCGTGAGTGAGACCTGGTCTGTGGGGTGCCCGGTACCTGGCTGTCATCTGCATGCTCCACCACGGGGAAGCCATTGTGATTGGAAGCCGTGTCGCTCAGCACGTCCACGATGACGCCGACCTTCTCTCGCCGCCTCAGGCAGGTCACCGGTGTGCTCATCACCTCCCTGCCGGAGGAGCCCGGCCACACACGCCCGTCATGCGCCACCAACTCCCACGGTCACCCCCACAGGCTGCTGGGGTGCAAAGCTGCTGGGCGGAAACGCGGAGCCGCCTGGAGCCCGCGAGCCGCACATCCCACATCCCGCGCTGTGCAACAAGAGCCACCGCACACCCTCCCCGCCCACAGCTGCCACGTGCCATACCTGGCAGTGAGCGAGTGCGAGGTGACCGGGGCCTCCCAGTGCAGGAAGGGCACGCTCTGCAGCTGAATGTGCATGTCGTACAGGCCCTGCAGGTGGACGGGACACAGGGCTGGAGGCCACGTCCACCCATTGGGACAGGCTGTTTGGAGGCTGGCTCTCAGAGAACCCTCCCCCACAGCCGCCCCCACACTCTCAGGGCGAGGCTTTGAGGCCCGGCGCACCTCGATGAAGACGTCGCCCACGATCTTGGCGGTCATGAGCACCAGCATGATGGGGAAGCCGTAGGTCACGTTGCTGGTGGCCTCCATCATGATGACCGTCAGGCTCAGGGTCATCCGCACGATCCCACCTGCCGGAGCAGTGATAAGCCCCAGCACATCCATGCTCCCAGCTCAGGGTCACATGGACACCGCCTTTTCTGTGCAGCCCACGGTCCGTCTGCCCCAGGCCTGAGCCCCGCAAGGATGGCCACGGCCCCCTCCTGACCCTGCGGAGGCCCCCGCCCACCAGGCAAGAGCCAGGACCTACCCAGCTGGGCGGCAGCTCCCATCAGGGCGTATTTCCCGGGGTCTGCCCAGATCTGCGGGAGGTGACACAGAGGTGTCAGTGTGGTGGCAGGCCCCTGCCCAAACTCACCGACATGGAAGGTCCTGCCCCAGAGCCCCATGCCCGGGAGCGAACCCCATGGCGGCAGACACACGTGCAGAACGACTGAACACGGGATGGCCTGCTGCGGACGCCGCGCCCTCTGCCTGGACCCGGCATTCAGTGCCTGAGCAACAGGGTAGCGACAGGAATGCGGGGTGCAAAGGCCACAGTCACCCACGCAGCATGCCCAGGCCGACTGGGGAGCACCACCCAGCCTGAGGAGCGGAACTCCAGCACACAGGACACAGAGAGCCCTGGGAACATGAGGCTCAGTCACAGAACCCATGCACGGAAGGCCACTGACGGTGACTCCACGTAGAGGCAATGTCGGGGGCAGGCAGAGCCAGAGTCCGGAGGACCCCAGTGGCTGCCGGGGCTGGGGGCCGGGAAAGCGTGGCATGAGTGCTGGTGGGCGCAGGGTTTCCGCTCTGGGATGGAACGTTCCAGAAGTGGTAGTGACAAACTGCCTCATGAATGTGAGAAACGCTGCTAAATTGTCCACTTTAAAAGGGTGAACTTTATAACACGTGAATCATGTTTCCATTTTAAAAGTCAAACCAAACCAAACATGTAGAGGTGGAGCACAAGGGCCTGGGGAGCGGGATGGGGGCTTCCAGTCGGGGCCTCTTACAGGCTTTCAGTGTCACTTAAATGACTGAAATGAGAAATGGAGGACACACGAAGGAACCCAGCCCCAGCGGAGACAGGCGGAGGAGGCAGGCCTGCAGGGGCCGAGGTCTAGCGGGCAGCGGATGCTGCTCTGGCCCCAGCCTCCCCAAGAGCAGCCCTGGTGGGGTATCTACCCCGTGCAGTCTAGAAGCCCCTCTGCAGCAGCACAGAATCACCCCTGCTTTTCATCACATTCTCACCAATGAGGACAGGAGCCTCCGCCCCAGCCTCGGCCAGGTCCACACCCCGCGGGGGCTGTGCTGCCGCAGGGAACCTGCTTCCCCCACGGTGGGACAA